CCCTAACCCTAACCCTAACCCTAACCCTATTCCCTTCCCTCTACAACCTTCATGCCCACTGCCACAACCTGAGGAGCTTCTGCTCAGTTCTGTTGTTTGTTCCTTCCCACTGATGAGCTCGTAGAGAGCGAAACCTGTCCGGGAAACCTGATGAGTGCATCCTTCACATCTTCCCATTTTTAGCTGACACTCATCTGCTCTGAATTCATATACCTCCTATGTAGTCTTCATCTTCACTTGCATGTTATAAACTCGTAGGAAGGTATTCCTTTTACTTTTTGTTGTATATACTTCTTAGGTCCTTTTGGCGGCTTTTCATTTTGGTTAGGCACCTAAGACTATCTCAAATTTCCATCCCTTATCTCACTCTATTCCTCCACATTTCACACTTATTCCTCTCCCTATCTATCCACTCATCTTGTTCTGAAATTCTTTTTTATATTTTTTCCCACCCAATCTTTCATCCAGTCCCTATTTTGTTCACCCCATATTCCTAACCTTATCCCTTCTCCCAACTCACCACCCCACTCCCGCATACCAAAATTGATTACTGCCAATCTAATTGTGACCCTTTATTTCCCACATATTTCCAGACTATCCATTTAGCAACTGCTATAGAAATCCTGCTTATTTTTTGCTCCCTGCACTTCAATTCTCCCACTCCAAAATATTGACCCTACATTCCATTTGGCTAGATCAATACACACCCAAACCTTACAGTATCTTAGAAATGCACTTGCCCTACGCATCCATCCAGCCTTCACCAACTTCACTCGACTTCTTAATAATTCCCATCCACCCCTTCAACAAATTAACAGCTACGCCCTCTCTACAGCCCTCAATATTTATAAATCGAGTTCTCTCAATTCCTTCCTAATACCTCTCCCCTACCCTACCGAAACCACTTCTTCCCCACCACCATCCACAGCATCTGCACCCCTTACACAAATTCCTCTACCCAACCTACTCACCATGAGAATAAAATACCTCTAGAACCATAGTCATTGAGTTTTAAAACTCTAATGACCCCCAATCTCCACTACCCTTGCACTCCAGCCCTAACCCTAATCTGACTTCCCCTCACCACACTTCACATAACTACCACATCCTCGCCCTCACACCATCATTTTAACATTGTACAATATATACGTCACAGCCCGAAAAAAAGAAGATCCACCTCAAGTTTAGGATTTGTCTCACATTTTAAATAAATACCTAACCCTCATCTAACATCCCCTCTCCACACTTCACATAACTGCCACATCCTGCCCTCACATCATCATTTTAACATGTACAATATAAACGTCACGGCCCGAAAAAAGAAGCTCCACCTCAAGTTTGGGATTTCTCTTATCTTTTAAATAAATACCTAACCATTTCCCCGAGTGTTATCCTAGTATTCAGTAACATTCTTTTTTGGGGTGTGCATTTGAATCCTTGGGGTGGACTTATTTAACACTACCCCTACTATCACATTCATCATTACACCATGCTCCTAATACTATGGCCCTCTACGTTGTTCAGTAGGGATCTAGTAGTCCCATTTAGGAGACCACTTTCCTACATCATATCACTATATACTGGTCCCTCTCATTCCCTTTTTTTGATGCCCTATTACTATCCAACAATATTACATTTCTCCCATTACATTCCCACATATTTTATAGTTGTCCTGCCCTTATCACTTCCACTATACAATTTCCATGTTGCCCTATGAAATCTTCCTCTTTATTCTCATAAAAAAATCGTGTATTCTAATGGCCCTACCCTAAATCTATTCCTACCCTTTCATTACATTGGCCCAACCCTTCACAGCCTCCCCATCCTCCTCTTCTTATTTTACAATTCCTGCCACAACACAATCAATCCCAACTCTCAAAACCCTAAATTAAAACCAAAAAAAAGAAGATCCACCTCAAGTTTGGGATTTCTCTCATCTTTTAAATAAATACCTAGCCCTAACCCAAAGCCCTAGCCCCACAACATATCGTACTAAAACTGTAACTAATATTGATTCGCGTTAACACAATACAATTCATTCACAATAATCAGGTTATTTTAATTCATCAATAATACATTTATCCTTTCAGGTATCTGGGAGATCACAGTGATGAGACGATACTAAAATACATTGAACCTTAACATTGATTTGGTATTATACTTTTAACCATCTGGTGTTAAAGCAGTGTTCACTAGGGTAAGTTAATTTTCAAAAATGTTATTTGCCCTTATCTTTTAAAATAATATCTCCATTGTGAACTATGATTAATGCATGTTCTGGTTGTGACATTTCAGTAGGGTTGTCTTGCCTTTAGTAAATACCAGCATGTATATTTGGCCACCTTCTTCTAGTGACACATTCTGGTAGGTAATTATGATATCGGGCGGATTACAAGTGAAAGTATGATAAATATAGAGCTTTTAATGTAAGTTTTGTATATAAATTGACGATATGATCATGTTGGCCATTAGCCATAAAATTAGATTAGATGGTGACAAATATTCAAGCGAAAAATTGAAAGTAGTTGCATAACACAGAATGTTCACAGAAAGTGGATAGTGAGTAAAGTCATGCGTGTTTACAGTAATTCGCCAGTTACGTCACATGACTATATAAACTCAACACATTCAGGCAAACATTTCCCCCCACTCTCCGTGAAGCAAACACCTTGCATGATTTTCACAAGATAATGGCATCAGACAACCCGACTGATATTGAAAGTCTTGCTTTATTTTGTTTTAATGTATTTAAAATTAAAGACAAATTGTACTTTAATTTATACTTTATTTTCAAACCTATGACATAAATGTAATGATTTATTATTATTTATTTATTATTATTTAAGATATTATTATAATTATAGTAATTCGTTGTGACTAAAAATGGTTCTACTGTGCAAATAGTAGCAACGCATCATAATTAGATGCTACAATTTTCGTGCCATTGTAAAATCAATATCTGGTACAGCAGATTTACGGATGTCCATGCTCATGTCGTTGTAGTTTTCTAATGGTGGAAGTTCCATATCTACATGTCTCATTTTGTCTGTATCTTTGTCTTTGTTGTAGTCCTTCGCATCAAAATCCAGATAGCGAACAAGAATAATAAAACCAAGCAAATCAGCAAGCTAGACATATCAGTTGAAAGTAAAATACAGATAAAATTATCGATATTGAAATTTGATACATTGATGACATTGTGTCATTATTTGTGGTAATTGCTTGTAGTAATTAATGTAAAATGAGTATTAGCAAAGAATAACAAATGAAATGATCGAAGCAAATACTTCATTTGTGTTCAATTGAGGAAAACTGATATACGTTTAAAGATCATAGAATTAGTTGCCAGTCTTGTGTATAGTAAACATTTTTACACTGCTATTTTGTATACAAAAATAGATGAATCGAGAATAAATGTGGTATTTCCATATTACACATAATGGTTAATTCTTCCACGAAGGTTGAAGTAAATCGGCCAGCACGTGTACGAGGTTTGTTTCCAAACAAGTAAAATTACTTGATTTTGATCTATTTGTTCACAAAATCATTGCATATGCACATGTACCAGACTAGCTGTTAAATATGTGCAAGATTTGAAGAGAATTGATCTGCCAAACAATCATTCAAAATGTCAATAACTAACATACATGAGGGGGGGAGTGAAGGGGGTTAAATCAATATGGCAAATTGTATACGATACACATAACATGTGAAACATCAAATCAATCTTTCTGTTTTTATTATATTATCTGAATGGTAAATCTTATAACTAACATTGACGACTACCATTACTAATAACGATTATAATATTGCATCAACCAATACCTACCAGTATAATAATAATGACGCCACCGATCCCACCAAATATCAATATGTAGGGATACAACCATTCATAAATTATTCCAAAGCATCCCTGAATTTCAAAAAGAAGAAACGAATAATTGAAAGTCTAATAACACATATCATACAAATCATTTTCTACAAAATATTTGCACTTGCTCTATAGCTAATATGATAAACACACATTCAGTTATGTTAATGGTGTTAATAAACGGGTATCAATCACGATAGGATGAGTAATTAGACATTGGGTAATGCTATTTGGGTTGGAGTAAAAAGAGATCCAAACCAAGTAGTGCCACGTTGTTATACTTGTGGAAAGATATTGTGAGTCAGTTCTTGGGCGAACAGTGAAATTAAACATGTATATACATTAATGTGACTCAATTGGAAGCAACGCAAGATAAAGCGTACTGCCACCTCTGATTGGCGAACTCGCCAAAATAGGTAAGAATAATTTTGAAATCACCAGTTCGGAGTCGTAGGTCATTGAGAAAGCAACTACCGTATGTCAAACAGTACAACATCGTATTAAACAATTCGGTATTTTCTGTAACAAAAGTTATACTGAATGGAACGTTACCCAAACACGAATGAACAATTGACCAAATGATTTATAACCTATGTGAATGTTTCAACAGAAAATTTAACCTCATTACTTTTCGAATATTTAAAAGGTATTGTCAAATCTGATAGGCTTGAGAAAGACAAATAATTTGTCTAATAGTTAGTTAATATCGGAATATTAACTGGACATTGGCTTTGGTCGATATAAAGAAATACTGTCCGCAAGTAGCTGTAATCCGTCTCTCTGAAGTATGATAACTTAATTATCGAGTTATTAAACCTTCAAGTCAGGTAACCGGTGATCGGAAAGTTCGCCACACATTCAATCGAACAAAGACACACAGAGAATCGAAATGTGTTACATTTGGTCTCAGCCATGTTGCTTCTTGGTCGCACCCCCGACTGACTCTCTCGTGCCGATACCACTTTATTCACTTTTCCAACTGTTAACCAATTACAGAGAAGTTAAAAGACTCTAAGGTGTCCTTCACACATGTATGCAATCACGCAAAGTATTCAACACGCCATAATGTTAGATTAATTGCCCCGGATACCAGGACGTAACTATCATATTTATCGGCGTCTTGTTATTTCAACTAACATTCCGTGTTTGACAATTATAACCGCCAGTTGTCTTTTAGTAATTTCAATAACATGCCATGAACGCTACCATGATAAATTGTAAGCAGATGCGGATTATCCAGGGGTCACCATTGAAAGCCACAATGACCGCTGGAGCGATCTCTGCTAAACACATGCAAATTTAAATCATGATAGAAGCAAGAATCTGTGTCTTACCTTGTTATTCATAAACTTGTTTGGTATATCGACATAGCAAGCTGATTCGTTAACCAAGCGGGGGCTAATGCCATCATTACTGATCATGCGAATCTCTTCTGGATCGACTGTGCAGCACGATTTTGGATAATGTTTTCTTTCTTCAGACGAATAGTATTTAATTTTTTCGTCTTCGTACCATTGGCTATAAAGCCACTGCGTGTAGTTGAATTCGCCACAACACTGAAACTGAATACGCTAAACAATTACAAAATAACCATCCTCATTGAGGTAATGGCGAATATAAATATGATTAAAACATCATATCAATATAGCTTTCAAATCACCAATAATATCATTTAAATACAACAAAAACGATATGTTTCCGTATCATTTGACAACAAAAATGAATATTAAATAGTTTCTGGGTGCAATTTTCAAGACCCAATAATTCAATGTATAACACTTATTATTGAGGGTTGGCAAGGGCTATTTTCTTAAGCTGTAATCAATTGTTTTTATTTTCGTAATAATTTAAATAAATAAAAAACGTAAATTCGTAGACATGGGTAAGGTGGAAAATGTAATCAGCTAATACTAGTTTAGAAACTTCAATATTTGAGGTCAACACCATAAGTTGAACTTGATTAAGCCAAATATTCTAGAGGAAATGGATAAGAAACTATGGCACATTACAATAAAAATGTACTGTACCATGTTCCTATGCATAATTTTAAAATATTGGATTGTCTAATCTTCCGATTTTGAAGTATCCTGTTTGTACATGTCTCCGTGACTGTACGGCCCATACTAATGTGTTTAAAGATTGTTTGGCAAATGTACCTTTGAAGAGGTGAAAATATGTAAATCGAGGTCTAACAGCAGATTGTATACGGTAACCACTTTTGTTGAATATAATAGCTAAAAACATTCATACAGCTCAAAATCCAGTGTGTGCAACCATACTGTGTGTATTGGTACAAATGTAATGTACATAAGTTTGTTAAAACTAATTTCATAACAGTTTTTAAAATGTGTGATTCCGTTAAGATGATTCATGTGACTACCGTCAAACTCAGACAGTGTTTTATAATTTGAGGTTAATAATGCATATGAAGATCGTACAATAGGAACTCTGCAGTTGCATATTCCCCTTCTCTTTGACTAAACCAACTGATGTATCGCATCATATTTTTCTACAAAACAATTGAATTAGCAAGCGCAGTGCTCAATTTAGTGACATATAAACTAAATTATACGTTATGCAATGAAAGTAATAATATAGATCACTAGCAATAATATACTTACGTATACTTGTAGTTTGTCAATAGCTAATGTTACTTTATCCTCGCCATTGGTGCCATACGACTGTAGTATTGATCCTCTTAGAGTCAAAGTAAGGTCTCGTTTCATCTATAGCAATATATATTGACACGGATATTCAGTATATAACTTGGACAATGTCAGGCCATATTAGTGCATGAAATTCATGGATTTATGTAAACATATTGCCCAATTATTTTAATCTAAAGATCTCCTAATATACGTTAATAAATTGGTATACAATCGATGTAAATTTTATCTATCTTAAATCTATTTCTCCGATGAAAAATTAAAAACGTGCATTATATACAATTTTTGATCGTCGATTGTCAAATCAGAGTTTTGAATGTGCCAGACGGAACCCTAAAAAGTCACCAATCGAAAACCAAAAATAATTAGGTTAGATTTAGTACGATTATTAGCATTCACCGATAAAAGCTGTCGAATTTGCACATAGGGAGTCCGAATGAATAACATTTTTACAGGGCTTACTGTTTGAATTCGAACAAATTATTATTATTGGTTTCTATAGATAACAAATATTGGTTGATCAAGATTGAGGTGTACACTGTATTCGTATGTTTGCATTACCTGGAAGACGAATACAATCGCCATTGTAGTAAACGCAATACTAATGATGAGTACCAACAAAATTAGAAAAAAATTCTGTAACAAATAAAAATAATTGTGTATACGAGTTTTAAAAGGAGGACCTTCATTTTTGCTCAAAAAATATTAATTGAAAACATATCTTGACAATGAATAATGATATCATACCCTTCGATTTATGTGTACAGAGATGTATATTTATAATTACCGTAAATAAAGCACATTTACTGTTTTTCCATACTCCATACACTCCTATAATTGTCATGCCGATAATATATGCTCCCATACCAATAAGTGCATAGGTTGCCACCAACAACGTGTCACTCACAAAGATAAACACTTCCTTGGATACAGCATGATTATAGACGGCGACCCATGAAAATATACCAACAAACACTGCTGTGATGCCAACAACCTGCAATGAAGATATTTCAAAGTAACCATATTGATAATTTGGACATTATACATTGTAGCCCAAACATTTTAAAGCGCAGTGGTCGTCGCGCAGCGCGTGTTCGAATTTCATGTAAATAAACAATGCATTTTACACACGTTGTATACGTCGCTATGAGTCCCATATCGGACAAGACGCTGCACGACGACTACCGCCCTTTAAATGTATGATAACAGTAAAATGAACGAACGAATACGTGAATAAACTATCAACTAAATAATTTGTGGAAGATATACACGAAATATTCTACATACTAATACATGAACTATGGTTAGCATTGGCAAGGTTGGCTTGGAGAAACGATTGTTATATTGAAAGAAGCACTCTATTTCTAATCCCCAGAACCATGCAGAAATATTACACTTCCATTGACTATGTTATAAACACGTGTCAAATAAAATGGTGTGGAATGATTACAATGTTCAGTTTATTGGTTCATTAATTTACTTCTTACAATCGTATTCTTAAATGGAAACATAATTTAAATTAAGTGTCATTGTCATCTAGTCCTTCACCAGTGAAATTTGATATATCAATATGTAGCTGCAAATGTTGGGGCAAGACATTCCCTCTATCCCGAGTCCTGAAATGCCCCGGTTTTCAGGTAAAGTGCCTTAATCGTGACACGCAAATGTGGCATCATACTGTACTAATAACTTCTAACACGGACCCGTTCTATAATTAATGCTAATTAATTCTATCACTAGCAGCGATCCAGGAATGTGGTTGTACATTTAGCTAAACAAATGAGCATATTTGATAACATAAAAAAAAATGCATTGCAACCAACATTCGGTATCGTGAATCATTGTATGAACGGAATCATGCAGGCTATTTCAGAAAATTGGTTGCTAAAATGACTTGCACCTATAACCAGTATGAACGATCCTGATACGAAGCCCTGTTCATCTGCGGAAATAATTCAGACAAAATGCCTATCAATTTTGATAGAATCGCAAAATAACACTTTCAGGCGAACTATCAACTGAATTAGACAATATGTTATTGAGAAATCGGAATGGGCAAGAATAAAAAAAAAAAAATTCTTCGACTCTCAAATCAAATATGACGTACACTTGTAACCCAATGATGATGATGATACCAGAAGTATAAAAGTTTATCAACGTTGTAGACCATCGTGATGAAAAGTAACCATGTTTGATTGTGATCGGGTAAAGTATGTTCGATAATGGCTCACGCACGGACGGAACCCGAATTAATAATCCGCGATTGCTTACGAAAATTCATACAACATTGCTATTTGCATTCCGATAACACAGTTCATATTAATCAAGACTGGCGAAACAAGACGCTTTTTGAATTTTCGAAAATTATATTTTTGTTATGAAATCGAACTTATTTAAAACATACGGGACCAATGCCATTTGTTTTTATTTAGTTATATTCTACACATCGACCCAATTATCATATGTTGATATTTAGTAACCTATAGTGTTATAATTTGGACATCCCAAAATGGTTCATGTTTACATTTATTTCTTATTCGGCACAAAATTTGATTCTTAAATGTTAAGTGGAGTACATGGTAGGTCCTTCCAGTCCATGGACTATCACTTTTTACAAAAAGCAAAATGGTGGATTACATCACGTGAACCCACTTTTGATATGGATTGTAATTTAAACAACAAAATAAATGTAAATATTTTAAAAATGTATGAAGAACGATTTTCTAAAAAGTTGTAAATGTGTAAAGCACTTTGAGATACTTACCAAAAGAAACAGTTTGCATACTGTACAAATACTCTTTATTCGACTCCTACGCCGTTTGCGTATTTTGTTCTGTAGTGTAGACATATCTATATGTGATAATAAAATGTTAAAGTAAGTGCTTCTATGTCAAACCTATTTCAATAGTTTTATTCCTGACATAGGAACACTTTTTATTTTCACAATAGTCATGTTAAAATTAACAACTTATTTTTAGCAGAACATTCTGTAGACATACGAACATTTATATTATTATTAAGACTCAGATAAAGGTTAGGCATCGCTGGTTATCAAAATTAGAAATTATAACTGCTCTTTATCATTGTATACAAGTATTATTGCTGATGCACGAACTCGTGTGAGCTAATATTCTATGTTATCTGTAGCTACAAATCCGACCAAGCCATAATAATTAGCATGTATTTGTTGTTAGCATTTATCCTGTAATTGATTGAATTGCCCAACTATCATAAACCAATCCGACATCATCTTCGCTAGCCAAGGTTTAAGTTTATTCGGCCAAGCCTCAAAACAGACCTCCGGCTGATCTGCACTGGCTGGAAGATGAATTCTGATTGGCTAAAAAAACAAAAAAACTTGTGGCGTTGAATGTACGTTCATTGTCAGTATTGTTATGCAAATTCAAACTAGCTAATCATTTACAACCTTCCGAGCCAGTGCAGATTAGCCCCAGACCTTGGCAGAACGACATCAAATATGCGTATTCTAACAGCGCCCCCAGTAGTCAGATGCGGCTAATCATTGTCTAATCAGTTTGCGTGTTACAAATCTCTTTGGCGTTTCATTTTAAACAAAATGGCGGCGCCCATGAATCGTGATATTTGTGATGATAAAATTGCGAAAGTTTTCGGTGTTGATGCCCTCAAGCCGCATCAGGTACAGGCAATCAATGCAGTTTTGTGTGGGAAGGATGGCTTATTAGCGACAAAAACAGGAAGTGGAATTTTGTTTTATAATTTGGTACGTCCAACCTGATTGGGCGCCTTGTTTCGAGGCGCACCCAATCAGATCTCACTGCTTAAGACACGCAATTAGCCTATGCGATCCCGCACGGTATCGCGTAGAGGTCGAAGACACGGGACCGTGCGATTCGGACGATGATCCGACATCAAGGTAGATAGTTTGTGAACAAAAAAGGTCATGATCACTTTTTAACATGCCAGTGCAACTTTGAATCAATGTAATGACCCAATATTGAAAATTGTGTGAATATTCAAATGGTAATCCGACAATGAAACAACGCTCGTACATCAACGTGGACGTTTATATGTAGTTATTATTTAGTCACTATTCGGTTATTTTGGTCTTTATTTTCTTAATATGCCATGCGGTTATTTGGATATGTTATAATTCTGTTACTATTCAGTTGTTTGATTATTGATTGTCTTGACATTTGATTTGTTTCATCAGATTTGGATGTCTCAACATTTGACTTTCTTGACATAAGTTAACTCCATCATTTGCTGATCTATAGTCTTACCCAGAAATCATAGCATAAAATGCACGGCGACTGCTATTATTTGTAAAATCACAGTCCCTCTATAGATGGAGGGACTGTGATAAATGATAAGCCATTGGACAAGTACTGTTTGTAACAAGTAACCTGTAGAATACTGTGTGGGCAATATTTTTATATTGTATGTTTAATACTGTGTGTTAAAGGACTTTAGTGGCCTTTCTGTGACAGCGCCCTAATTGTCCTAAGTTGTCTTACATGTTATAGCGCCCTCACAGCCCTATGTGACAGGTTGACATATCTTTCGTTTATTAACGTATGCATGTCGTCTGTGCATGCGTTTTTCAGGCTGTACTTTTGATACTTTTCTTGAGACAAATATCTCCGTAATGGCTTATAATCTTCGACCCAGGGAAGGTCTGCCACCACATGAATGTCCTGACTGCTCGACAGATGACAGTCCAAGTACAGGGAATCTCATATTGCAAGGAAGTTTGGTGAGTGAACTTGAAACCCCAAAACAACATGGCAGACTTCATGAGCGGGAACCTTTGATGACCCCTATTTCAACGTGTTCTCTTAAACAACCGCCAGAAACAGAGGCAAGATTATCACAAATAGAAACATGACTTGACAAGCTCACAGCTCTATTAGAACAAAGCCTGCATGTTCAAAAACAAACACCAGAGATACAAGTTAGTGGTGTACAGTCAAATATTCATAATACATGCCATACAGAATGACGAGAGCTGGTAAACCATCATCCATGTCACCCAAGCCGCTCCATTCATCCCTACAAGATCAATCGAGGGGGTTGCATGCTGCTGCTGCTAGCTATGACAACATATCTGCAGCTACCAAAAAGAAAGTCCTTGCCGGTGAGTACATTGATCTAGCAACTTTACAATACCCCAGCCATTCATCCTATGGTGAACATGATGATGCCATTGAGGCAGTATTGAAAGGATCAGAGTTAACATTCCAGCAAAATGCAAGAAGGTGCACATCAATTCTTTCACACAGTGGCTGGCTGCCTTTGGAGTGTATGAAAGTATTTTATATAGTCAACATCTACAACTTTGTACAGCCCTACTTATATATTGCCGCACTATCCAGAATTGTGATGTTAAATTCCAAGGGCACAGTGTGTATAGATATGACATAAAGTTCCGTCGCAAGCTAGCAGAAACCAGGGATTTCAGCTATGACAAATTAGACCATGAGCTTTACATAACAACGTTTACAGATCCAAGTGCTGCCAAGTCTCTTCCTACATGCCATAGATGTAAACAACAAGACCATCGAGCGAAAGATTGTCCCTTTCTTGCGAAGATACCCACCTCACCGGAGACACAAGAGGAGGGCAAGAAGAAAAGCCAGGTGTGTCTCCTATACAATGTCAATGAATGCAAATCTCCAAACTGCAAAAGAGAGCATGTGTGTAAGCGCTGTGGCGGAAGCGAACCCATCATTAGATGCAAACCTTGCATGCAGTCTTAACTATGCCTCATGGACAAAATTACTTGACGACCACCCTGACAAAAAACTGATTGAAAAACTCCTCACCTGGATCAAGGAGGGGGTGCCTATTGGCTATCAAGGTCAAAGGCCGCAAACCCCCCTTCTTTCCAAAAACTGGAACAGTGCCTTAAATGCAAAAGCAGCAATTACCAAGAAACACCTGGATGAAGTGGCCAAGGGTTACAAAGCTGGTCCCATGCCCGAGCCTCCCTCATCATCATTTGTATCATCCCCGCTTGGAGCACGACCTAAAAAGAACAGTGGAAAGTATCGCATCATCCATGACCTCTCATGGCCACCAGGGCAGTCTATAAATGATGGTATTTGCAAAGAACAATACACATATACTTATACATCAACTGCAACTGTAATAGAACACATTCTTCGATCTGGCAAGGGGTCCCTGCTTGCAAAGGTAGACCTTGAAGATGGCTTTTATCAGATCCCAGTCCGACCAGCAGACTGGGAGCTTCTCGGGTGTTCTTGGGAACTTGACATTGATAGATCAGGACAGTCAAAGACATATTACTTTTACAGCAAAGTGTTGCCATTTGGCTTGCGTAGTAGTCCGTCTCTGTTCAACACATTTGCAGATGCTATGCAGTATATCATGCGTAAACATTTTGCTGTTACGAATGTGGAACACTACCTAGACGACTACATTACTGTCGGTTAGGCACACAGTATGCAGTGTGATGAAAATCTTAAGGGCATGCTCGACTGTTGTTCAGAGCTTGGGTTTCCAATAAACCCAAACAAAGTGTGCACTCCAACCACCTGCATTGAATTCCTTGGGATAATTTTAGACACAGAAGCAATGGATGCACGCATATCGGGTGACAGACTACAAGAAATAATAACAGAACTTGACCAATGGCATGCCCGCAGACACGCAACTAAACGTCAAATTCTCTCTCTAATTGGGAAACTCAGTTTTGTCACAAAGGTGTGCCATGTGGGACGTACATTCCTAAGACGAATGATCGATACAGCTAGTAAATTGAAAAATCTTCATCATAAAACAAAACTCACACAAAGTTTTCAGCTAGACGTACAGTGGTGGAAATCATACCTACCAACGTGGAATGGGGTCAGCATGTTTTATGATTTACACTGGACATCAAGCATTGACCTTGAGCTATACACAGATGCATCAGACATTGGATATGGAGCAGTGCTTGGCACACTTCAAGGAAAATTTAGGGATGAAGTAGACAATTACAACCCCCAAAAATACTCCATTAACTGGCGAGAACTTTATGCCATAGCACGCACTGCTGATGCATGGGGTAACAATTTCAAAACACTGCGAATTCTTTTCCACTGTGACAATACCTCTGTGGTTTACATGATCAACAAACGAATATCACGCAATGTACAATGCGCCGCACTATTACGTCAAATTTTCTTCACATGTGCAAAATTTAATTTTGAACTAAAGGCAGTCCATGTGATGGGAAAAAATAATTGTGCAGCTGATGCACTGTCTCGTATTTTTATCGATATGTAAATTAACTAATATCTAGCTTTATTTTCCTGACAGGTAACTCTGGCCACTGGTGGATCCGTGCCTGTCACCTGATAGGCACAGCATACTTGTATAACACAAAAAACACCTACAGTTCAGGCCAACAAGCTTACTTCAATTTTTGTGAACGGATTAGTGAGAGAACTTTACCAGCAGATGACCCACTGTTAGACAGACCACGTATTCAATTAGCCTTAAGAGCTATTCACAGAGTTAAAGGCACCTCAAGACAGAAACTAGCCATTACATTTGACATTTTAGAATTATTATTTAAAACTCATAATTGTAACAATCGAACTGATATTGTCGTCTGGGCAATCATGGTCACAGCTTTTTTTGGTCTATTTCGTTTGGGGGAACTGGTAGTCAATGCCACCCATTTTAACCCTTCTGTGCACATTTCTATCCAAGATGTGACTTTTCACACTCAGCCAGATTCCTGCGGCACAGTTATCATTCATCTCATTCATTAGGTTGTTCCACACATCCTATCTATGCAGTTCATGTACTTTCTTACTTTCATAAGCTACGTATTAGTGAAGGGGCATATCCTACTTCACCAC